TGCTTTGTGTGTTGCCTTATTGCTAAGGGCCTGTAAGATCTTCTGCTGTAGGATGCTGCGGTACTTAGAAAAGGCCAATGGAGAGACATCCGGTAGTACTTTCCCTAGCATCCTTGACGTACCGTGCTATGCCGGGTACGCTCCATGTCATCATCTAAACCATGGGCAGGGAAGCCTCAGGTAGAAGCCATGCCGAAAAGTCAGTTATCACGACCAGCCTTCTACATTAGCTCGATACTCCGGAGTCTTCGGAACTGCTCATATCGTTTTGCCCTTAGCGGGTTTTAGATGCTAGTACCCGCACCCATTCCTATAAAGTGCACAATGTTCAACAGCATGCAAAGTTAATAGAGTTCCGCCTTAGCACAAACTCTTCCTGCTTGTCAGACGCATATAAGTTCATTCAAGTTTCGTGTTGCTATCAGCCATTCCGTGTGACGAAGTGAAATTATACTGGGCAAAGCTGGCATACTTTCCCGTCGCACACGATGGCCGTGATATCCCCTGAAATTTCGCCCGGAGCACAGTCTTCAACCAACAATTCTTACCCACAGCAGAGACGAGTAGCGTCTGCATTGGCGCGGGAGCTGGTCGAACGGGCATACGCCTCTTTAGACAGCAAATATGGTTTTTCGACAGCAAGTTGTCAGGTATATGATACTGCTTGGCTATCTATGGTACGTCGACATGTCTCCATTCCCATTGCAATACTTTAGGTGCTTCTTCTCAAAGCAAACTGTAGGTCAAGAAGATGGCGGGCAAAGAGGACAGATGGCTATTTCCTGAATGCTTCCATTATCTTCTGCGCACACAGAGTACCGATGGTAGCTGGGGTATCGACCCTGTGTCTCAAACCGCTGGCATCTTAGATACTGCAGCTGCTCTGCTAGCACTCCTCAAGCACGCCGCAGAACCACTACAAATCTACGACTACTCCAGTAGCGACCTCGAAAGACGGATATTTCTTGCTACTCAGGCCCTCGACAAACAATTGAAGACTTGGAATGATCTAATATCTACTAATCATATCGGAGTAGAGCTGATCGTACCCGCATTGCTCGATTATCTTCAGACAGAAGATCGGCTGTTGCAGTTTGACTTCAAGGGCCAAGACGTACTTACACAAATGCATAAGGAGAAGTCTTCTCGTCTCCGGTTGGACACGCTGTACAGCACGCGTCCATCGTCAGCTCTACACTCGCTCGAAGCCTTCGTCGGCCGAATCGACTTCAACAGGGTCTCCCACCACCTCTACAACGGGTCTATGATGGCTTCGCCCTCGTCCACGGCCGCGTATCTAATACACTCTACTGCCTGGAATGATGAAGCGGAGGCCTACCTCCGACATGTCGTAAAAGCAGGCATAGGTCATGGTGACGGTGGAGTCCCAGGAACTTTTCCCATACATTATTTCGAGCTCAACTGGATCGTAGCAACGTTGTTACACGCTGGATACACGGCCCTTGATCTTGGTCCAGTTGTAGATGAGATTGGAAGCATTGTTCGCAAAGGCTTCACTGAAGACGGTGGAGTTATTGGATTTGGTGAGACTCTATACCCTTTTCAGAAAGGCTGAAGTGACTAACTCTTCCAGCACCCGTAAGTCACTATTCATTACGGGCTGGGAGAACAACAAGAACCCTGAGCTGATTGGTGCAGCGTACTACTGATGTTGACGACACCGCTAAAGGCCTCCTTACTCTAAGTCTTCTAGGCCGACTCGATGGGCTTACAGCGGACGCCATGGTGAAATTGTTTGAGGAGAAGGATGCTTTTTGCACATTTCCCGGTGAGCGCGACCGAAGCTGGAGCTCTAATTGTCATGTTCTGCTAGCACTCTTGCAAAATGACTTCAGAGCTAGGTATGTATCGCAGATCCGTAAGACAGCAGGTTTCATTACGGAGTTTTGGTGGAGATCCGACAGATTTCCCAAAGATAAATGGGTGAGTCTTACAACATTTTATGCCGATTCCATACTTATCAGAACACAGCATTTGAGTCATCTCTACCCAGTAATGTTGATGGTGCAAGCATTCGTAGCATTGCTACGCAGCCTCGACAGCGATCCTAGCTTGGCTGCCGGAGACCAAGAACTCGTACTGAAAGTTCAAATATGCATCTTCCAGGCCTCCACACGTACTCTATATGAACAGGGGCCTGATGGTTCATGGGGCCATTCCTCCGATGACACTGCTTTCGCTCTCTTAACTCTAGCAGAAGCCCGTCATCTATGCACTTTTAAAGGTACACTTCTAAACTTGAATTGGAAATTTGAATTCCAGAGCTTTGCAGGAGTTTCTGACAACTCAACAGACTTCCAAGCCAAACTACAAAGCGCTATTGACCATGGAATCGCTTATCTGGACATGCGTGGTACACACGCACTCTCGAGCTCATGGACATCTAAGACCAAGTACTCTGTGAAGTTTGTCTCAGAAGCCTACGTTCTGGCTGCATACAAGCTCTCACGACCGATCGCAAGATTTGAAGATGTTGGTCGATCCTTATACCCCGACTCTGATATGCAACAGTTGAGCCCTTATTTATCGCTTCTAAAGCGGACAAATCTATTCTCCTCCGTGCCAGACTGGCAACTGCAGGCTTCATTAGTAGAATCCTCACTCTTTACACCACTCTTGAGAGCTCGACGGCTAGATGTCTTCGCACGGGACGATAACACCCGCATAAGCAAAGACCACTATCTACATCTCATCCCATTTACATGGATTGGTTGCAACAACTTGTCGAAAGTCTATGCCCCTAATGACTTCCTATTTGATATGATGATTATATCGTTACTTGGCTATCAAACCGACGAGTTTTTTGAGGCTATTGCTGCGCCAGCGTTCTCGGACAATCCAGGCTTGTTGAATTCCGTCATCAGTCACGTCGTGAGTAGTACTTTAGAGAAGGAACCGCAGAAGTCGCAGACCTCGTTTCCTCCCAGCATTTCCAATACATCATCGGAGCATTGCAAGGTCTGTATCATGAATTCATTTGTCTTCAACATCACCGCGCCATAGCACTTCGCTGACTTGACCTAGATATATGAATCTCTCTCACATCTTGCTAGACACGTGCTACACCATGATCGCATCCAAAATGCAAGTGTGGTAGATCGCAAGAATCTAGAGTTAGAGTTCAGAAATTTTTTGCTTGCACACGCGAAACAAGCAAAGGACAACATGGCATTCGCCTTGCAAGCGAACAATTCAGTATGTACATATACAAACTCACTTTATGCTGGCCTGCAATGAATTGACTCAACTCACAATATCATAGGGTCATCTATACATAACTGAACAGCCATTCTTCCACTGGGTGCGAACGACAGCCGCCGACCATGTCGCTTGTGCCTACTCTTTCGCCTGGGCTTGCTGTTGGGTGTCACAAACCATCGGAGATGGAACTGAGACGTTCGCAACACCAACAGAGAAATACCTCGCAGCCGCAATGTCTCGACATATGACCACCATGTGTCGTATGTATAACGATATCGGCTCAATGACAAGGGACGCAACCGAACTGAACGTTAACTCCATCCATTTTCCAGAGTTTTGCAGTATGGCCACTGAAAATCCAGCAGCGAAGAAACAGGCGCTCACCTCAATGGCAGAGTATGAGCAATCTTGCTACAAGCACAGCTTTCATTTACTCGAGAAGGAAGTGCTCCACGTGTATCCTGATGATTCGGAAACAGCTTTCAGCCGTCGCAAGCTACGCATTGTGCAGCTCTTTGGCAATGTTACAGTTTTATATGATCAGCTGTATGTACTCCGGGACTTATCGAGCCGTGTTGGGTCTCGTTAAGTCACATAAGATGAGAGTTGAATCCGCTGTTGGGCAAGTAGAGCGCAAGCATTGAGATAAAGAGTACTACTATAGTGCGTCGTAAACGAACCGCTTACTGCTATACTTGATCTACTTTAATATCACTGGGAATTCATGTCATCTTGTCGTCTTGCCGATTCGCTAACGTATTACAACGTCCGTTGCACAGGGACAGACTTTACATTCACCCGTCAGTACAACTACCATAGCTCGGAGATGTGTACTAACGTCCGTCCCCAAGTGCTGGAAAACTCTTACAAATAGTCTAGAAACAATCAATCAGATCGAAAGGACCTTGGATCCATAGCCCTTGCGAGCTAAACAGTCGTTCTATCACGCAGGGATGGGCGTATGCGAGGACGTATGAGCAGGGCCTGTGCGCATAGTACGGGCGTAATACGGCCAGTATACATGTAGCTTAGTAAAACTACACTAGTTAACTATAATTTGGGCCAAGGATGAGGCATGTAAGCCCCTAGGTCCCTTGGCGTGCGGTTGCCGTAGTCGCTACGATTCCCCTGACACTTGAACAGCCGCGCAAACCCGGATACTATCTATTAGCCAAGAGGCGGCAAGACTCCGTGTTCAGCGCACTAGTCTCGGTAATGCTGACCGCTGCAGGGTGGAAAACCTTATGCTCCGCAAACGACGGATCGGATCGCAAGGATCGCGGATTCTATAACCCTTACGGTCTAACCAGTTATTTTCTATAGTGCAAGAGGCCTTGAATGTAAGCCTGCGCTATCGCATTGGCTTCGTACCGTCTTCGCACCGTCTTCGCACCGTCTTCGCACCGT